TGGGGATCGAGCCCACAACCCAGGCATGTGCCCTTGGCTAGAATCGAATCTGGGACCCTTCAGTCCACAGGCCGACGCTCTATGAACTGAGCCAAACCAGCTAGAGCTTGTTTTTGCTTTTTAAGACAGGAAGCTCACTGGGAGCAGGATCTGTGTCTAGTTCTTTCTTAGACCACCCAGCAGCTATGGTAGTGCCTTATGTCTAATAGACATACAATGTATATCCGAATGCACAAATGGATGAGTAGAGAGGAGGGAATCCCAGATGAGAGTTGAACATATAAAGTCTTAATGTGTATGTTCTTTGCTAGCTCTTTATAATCAACTAGAGGCCCGGTGCACGAATTCGTGCATGGGTGGAGTCCCTCAGCCTGGCTGACGATGGGGGCAGATTGGGGCCATCTCACCCAGTCCCGATTGGGCTGATTGGGGCAGGCCAGAGGGAAAGGACCGCGGGAGGTTGGCTGGCCATGGGAGGTTGGCTGTGGGAGCGCACTGACCACCAGGAGGCAGCTCCTGCGTTGAGCGTCTGCCCCCTGGTTGTCAGTGCATGTCATAGCTTAGGCTTTTATATATATAGATTAGCAAATATTTACTGATTGCCTAATGTGTGCAGGGCACTGTCATAAAACAGTTGGGAAGGAAAGATATAACCAGGGGGAAAGTTAAGCAATTTCTTCAAAACGATTTTCTCTTAACCCTCCATTACAGAAGTGATTGATTGATTGATTGATTGATATGTCAACCTGTAAATATATATCTTGTAGATGTAGATTGATCTGTATATGCATGTATATCTTGTTATTGCTAATTTTTTCTAATTGGTTTTGGAGCTTTAGGTTATGGGTAAAAATTGTTGATTATAGGGCGTACGGCCGCCATCTTGGCTGACAGTTAATTTGCATAAGGATATGCTGATTAGCCAATGGGAAGGGTAGCGGTTGTACGCTAATTACCATGTTTCTCTTTTATTAGTGTAGATTAGCAAATATTTACTGATTGCCTAATGTGTGCAGGGCACTGTCATAAAACAGTTGGGAAGGAAAGATATAACCAGGGGGAAAGTTAAGCAATTTCTTCAAAACGATTTTCTCTTAACCCACCATTACAGAAGTGATTGATTGATTGATTGATTGATATGTCAACCTGTAAATATATATCTTGTAGATGTAGATTGATCTGTATATGCATGTATATCTTGTTATTGCTAATTTTTTCTAATTGGTTTTGGAGCTTTAGGTTATGGGTAAAAATTGTTGATTATAGGGCGTACTGGAACATTAATTTTGTCTTTTTGCAAGTCTATTTAATAACTGCAACTTTCCCACTTTAGGGGCAGGCACAATTCAATACATACTGGAAGTTATAAGAAATGTCTCATGTATCTGGAAACTAATACCACATTTTCTAGTCCTCAAAAGGACACAGTAGGGTTTTAGTTCTAATTCTTGCTTTGCCCTTGCATAGTTGTACAGCATTCTGTGAAAACTGCCCCAGGGGAGGACAGTGTTGGTAGTAATCCCAATTTCTTCATAAAAGGGTCTGTGGATGAGTTTCTAGGTAAGCCTGAACAGGATCAAGGTCACCCCCAAACCTCTCACTGATTATCCAGTGTGCCTCCAATTCTATTTTTGCAGGAGGAATCTAATGTAAAGTAGCACCTAAACAAAGGTGAATTTTGAGTGACACCAGCAGTCTACTATAAGTAAAATAGTCTCTGAACAAAAAACGTAGTGGACACGATTGTGTGGGCACCGGGAAGGAGGTGGGGCGTTGCCCACATCTCAGCCGTCTGACGTGGCTCTTTCCTGCAAACCCCCAAGCTGCGCATGCTCTTCGACAGCCAGCAAATTCGGGCCCGCTGATGGGATGCCGGCCAGACACTAGCTAAGTGCCTGTGGCCCAGGATGTCCTAATTAAATTGTGGTGAATCCATTTTTTTCTTGGAGCACTTCATATATTTAATGTATGAGTATAAAAGCATTTTTCTATCTGGAGTCCCACCTCCCTCTTGGAATTCTGCATGTTATATGCTACAAAGGGAACGAAATAATCTTGTTATCTGGACTGTAATGACTTTATGATCTAAGACAGGAACACTGATATGGGAGCAGCTGAATGAAAAGAAATAGGCAATCAGTATCTGAGTGTCAAAATACATTTTGTCATCTAGAAGTAAAGGGTGAAGTGTCTTAAAGGGCAAGCTACCAGGAAGAGTTGGGCAGAAACTAACAGTATGGGACTGTTACGGTCGGGGCTCTGTGGCCAGCATTTCCCAGAGCATCATAGATAAAGCCCTTGGATTTTCCATTGTCCGTACTGCTTCCCCTCCGATGAGGTCATCTGCTTTGAGACATGATAAGAGATTTGGGCCTGGACATTTTAGTTCTATCTACGTGCCAACCTTCTCAAAGGCAGGGACCATGTCTTAAATTTCTCTCATATTTTTCCCCAGCATCTGGACTGGTGCTTGGTCAGTTGGTATTGAGTAATAATTTTCCAACCAACTCGGAAGGATAAATGTGCTGTCTAGGCATTTGGGGAAGAGGGAAGGGTATCTGTGATTGACATGTAGCCTTCCCCAAAAGGGCCCAGGTGTGTAGGTGTGTGTACAAATAATGCATAAGGGCCCAGGTGAAGCAGACCAGGCATTCCCGAGTGCGTAGGTGGGACATGCATGGCGAGCATGCCTTGGACAGGGGAGTCAGGAGTCTAAAGGGCAGTTGCATGATTGAGGTTCATGAAATCGGGGTGATGTTTATTTTTTTATGTAAATCAGTGGAAGACTCGGGTGTTTAGATGTGCAAGGAATATGGGATGATGTGGCAGCCCTCTGCCAGGTAGTGTGGAGGGATGCTTCCCACAGCCCAGGGAGGGTTGGCGAGGATCAGGATAAGGGTGGAGGTAGTTCCAATCGGAAAGAGCAATTCAAGACACACCAGGAAGGAAAAACTGACTCGGGCACACCCAGGCAGACAAAGAAGAGTCAAGATGACCTCACGGTGTTCCTGTTCCTGTTCCTGGGGTTGACAGAGGTTGGAATGTATCCATGGCTCTGGGCACGGAGGGCAGGAGGGTAGGGTGCGGTAGAGTTGGGAGAAACGGCAGATGCTACTGAAACTCCTTGTCCCCAAAGGCCCTTTAATCAGCAAAACCATCACCTGGTAGAGATCTGTGATAGGATGTACAGGTTTTCACAAAGTGACTCCTGGAAATTATATACCAACTTAACTTTTTATGGAAGTTTGAAAAGTGGTAGAACTTCTTGCCAGCTCTTCTTTCTGTTGGCAATCAAGGCACCCTTGGAAGAAGTGAATTATAAGCCGGTTGACTGGAAGTGTTGCAGGATTGCTTGCATCTAGTGAAGCTGTCTTCTGGTTTTCTTGTCGCTTGAGTGACAAAACTTGCCGATACTTGAACTAGATTACTAAGCAAAGAAAATTAAATCTTCATTAGAATGTACGAGATTAAGAGAAGTATGTAGTGTACATATTTTTTAATTTTCTTCTAATTTTATTCAGGTTGGTTTTCCACAGACTCTTAATTTCTACATTAGAAAACCCATTACTTGTTGATTTTTAAAAAATATATAATTGTATTGATTTCAGAGAGGAAGGGAGAGGGAGAGAGAGACAGAAACATCAATGATGAGAGAGAGAATCATTGATTGGCTGCTCCTGCATGCCCCCTGGGGATTGAACCCATAAAGTGGGCATGTGCCCTTGACCAGAATTGAACCCGGGACCCTTTAGTCCACAGGCTGACGCTCTATCCGCTGAGCCAAACCAGCAAGGGCTACTTATTGATTTTTAAAACCTGGACTAACTGATCTGTGATTTCAGAACAGCTCAGTGCTGCGTTTTAAAAATCAAGCATTCGGAATACCATCGAGGCCAAAATGACTCGGTGAGAACGTGTTTCTTAAATTTCAGTCACTGTTAAATATCCAAATGACAGTGCGGGTGTGTTGGTAACTCCAGCTCTCAAATCAGAATTTCACGCTTTTTCTTAAAACACCAGAGGACCATGTTCTAAGCATTCAAATGAAATCTTGCGGAAAACACCATTGGTTGTAGAAGGGCATTTTATATTCCAAGTCACAACACACACACACACACACACACACACACACACACACACACACACACGCTTTTGTGGTTGTTCACCAAGTTCATAGGCTTGTCCACATACAGGCATCAGAGACCAAGTTTCCCTTTCCTGTTAGTAAGTGTGACCATCTAGTGACCTCAGTTAGGGGGGGCATCACAGGGCTCACAAATCAGAGAATCACTCCATTATCCACGCAGAGCAGGTCAGTCCTCCTTTCCCCTGCACCAGCTGAGATTTAAGTAAGTGCCCATCGATCAGCCTGACGTCTGGCTCTCGTTTTCCATAAATGAAGGGCTGTGGCTTTAAGTGATCGCAGGCTGCCTGTGCCAAAGGCACTCGCTGCAGCATCAGCCTGTGTGCGGAGAGGCGAGGCGAGGCAGCAGAGGCAGACGCTAACCTGCAGGACGAGAAGTAAGGCTAACCCAGGACCCAAGGCCCGCCTCCCGGCAGAGCTGTCTCCCGGTAGAGCTTCGGATGTAGACACACCGGCTGGTGGGTGGCGTGGCCACCTGTGCGCTTTGCGGGCAGTGCAGGGGGCGGGGGGGATTGGAGACAGAAGCTGGAAAATGGGCTGCTCCGGCAGCAAAATGTGCCTCTATTCTCCATGTGCAGCGACAAGGGTAATTAGTATTTGTTTCTAGTGCTTTTCTGGAGGAATGTCAGGGACGGAGGCAGAGGTCTGTGGAATGAGGGGAAATGCTTAATGACAAGCGACTCCCGCCTGCAAAGGCTGGTCTCGGGATCTCTGAACACTGTGATCAAGATGTGGTGGGGGCTCCTCTGGGCTGCTCCCAGGGGGGCATTTTCAGGGAGCTGTGACTTCCGCCTTTTCCTCCCTCCCGCCCTGGGTTGGGGGCTCTGCCTGGTGAGAAACGGTATCTAACTGCTGTATCTGTGTGAGCGTGTGTGCATGTGTGATGGCTGTGAGTTGCTGGTCGCTGGGAAATTCTTTCTGGCAAGATTGAAAACTGCTTTGTTACTACCGAGACAGCTGCCTGCTTCTCTTCGATTCACTTCTCTAGCATCTACTCAAGAATTGTAGCGGATTCCGAATGTTATCATCTTCAGAAAACGGTGTGTCTAGCTGAGTCAAATCAGTTTAGTTTTTGTCTTTATTAAAGGATTATTTTTTCCGCCTCCGCTTTATAACAAACTTCGTGTCTTCCTTTTAGAAGTAAAGGGCTGTGACAACTTTTTTTTTATTAGTATTTGCAGATATAGGACAAAGTGCGCACAGGCGCAGATGCCGGGAACATTAAATATTTATCTAGGACTGATTAGGCCTGGCTTGCCCTTGGAGGAGGAGACTGCATCACGTCTTCAGCACAGCGCGCATCTGCATCCGCGGCAGGGCTTTGCCCGGAGCGCGGCTCAGAGTAAACATTTCTCAGTGCCTCCCGTGGAAGTGTCATGAGTCCCTGAGAAAATACAGATATTTTGGGGGGGGAACTCGGATTTCCTTCACGGAGGGACAGCTGTGTTTTCGAACAACACACACTGTTAGCCTAAACGATTCACATCTCAGCCTCTCGGTGCTGAGTCTCGTCTTTCGGGTGATAACAAATGTGCGCCTCCCTGAAAGGGACCCCCCTGACAGCCGGAGTAACCTGATGTTTGTCTTCCGCAGCGGGAGGAAGCCCTGCAACAGCACAAAGCCCTGTCGCAAGAGCTCCTGAGCCTCCGGGGAGAGCTGGGTAAGAGCTTTTCTTCTTGGGGAGGGTTACGGGGCCAGGGGCAGACCGGCCAGTGTGGTCTGCCCGTCTGCGTTGTGGCTGGAGGTGCCGGCTGGCAGCTGGTAGCCGCCCCCTCTGGCATCGCCGTGCAGACACTTACCATCGACATTTCTTTTGAATCTTGGCAGCTTGACCTGCAGTTCACAGAATTCCTGGCACTGCTCTGACGAAGCCTAGCAGAGCTTCTGATGACCAGAGCATTCCTCTCCCCAGAGAAAGGGACAGGCGCCTTTTTGTAATCGTGAGGGTTCCTGTGCAATCATTCCGTCATATTATTTTCTGATCCACTTTTCCCACTGAAGGGTGGTGAGACCATCCCCTCTCATAACAGGGATTGCGCCACGCTTCCTGGGGAATGGGTGTGGGGGGTGAGTACACAGTGTCTGGAGAAGGCTCGTTTCTGTGCTGATCTTCCTATTGGATGGGGCTGATGGTGAATCGGAACCCGGTTCCAGGGCAGCCATGTGCCTCTGAGGTCTGGCGCACTCGCCACCCAGGTCCGCTGTTCCAGGCCGGCCTCTGTGTCAGTTCTGGGCCCTCCTGGGAGAGTCCTCGGGGTTGAGGTGCGTGCAGCAGACAGTACTGCCTCCCCTACCCCAGCCACCAGGTGGGAGTGAGCTGCTGCCTCGGGGTCCCCTGAGTGCTGTGGGCACCTCAGCCCCGGAGAATCCGCTTTCGCTGTAGCTTCAGCCAGGCCTGGGGACGTTCACTGAAAGGCGAATTCCTTGCCCTTTGCAGTTTTCTGCATATGCTGACGTTGCCACACAAAGCGTGTGTAGGTGTGTGTACAAATAATGCAAAGGCAGCAGCCAGAGACAAAACTGTGTTCACCCAGTTCTAGGAGAAACTGCTCGTTTTGCTTGGGGTGAGACCAGAGTTGAAACACCGTCAGCCTAATGTGCTGAACTCGGACACTCCTTTCTCCCCAGGTGAAGCCCAAATGGCCATAGTGTGGGCTTAAGGCCTCTCTGTGCGCCTCTTCCCTCTTCGCTTCTCCCTGCGCGGCAGCGCCAAGCTCCAGATTCTGATAGCTGGCGGGGTGTCCTCGCTCCCGCCCTCATTCCGGGCTGTGCAAATGAAGGGCTCTGTATGGGAAAGTCACGTCTAGACAGATGCCACTTCAGGACCCCAAAGACTTGAGAGTTCTCGGGGAACAGATCCCAAAAAGCACAGCGGAGAACCAGCTCCGTGAGACTTCAGGCTCTCTGCCCTGGGACCTAACGAGGCTTCTGTGCTTCTGATCGCCCACATGCCCAGCCCAAGGTGCTCTTCGCTGGGCCTTGGGTAATGTAACGGCTGTGGAGGCAGATCCGGCCAGAGGTCCTTTTTGTGTGTTTCACTCACCGTAACCCAGTGCGGGGGAGATGAGCCTTCCTGCTGGCTCATGTTTCAGCGTCTCCCAAGACACGACGGGAGATGGAACACTGCTCTCATTCACTCGGCTTGAATGGGGCACCCTCTCTAGTGGAGAGCACAGTGAATGATTTGAATGGGGACCCAGGTACTCAGCCCGACAGGAAGTGGCCCTCACCGTCGGCACCCGCGCTCAGCTTTCCGCCTGTGATAAGAGAGCGTGCTCTGGTGTCCTCTCCTGCTCTTATCAGTGTCGGGATGCAGCGGTTGGCCCGTCCGTCCGTATCATTCGGTTACCCGAGGCCAGACTCGGAGAATGCCACTGGGGCTATCGAATCAGGTTGAACTGCTCAGGTAACAGCATGAAGCATTTGGGGAAGGGGTTCTGATTCTGCGAGGGGGCAGAATAGAAGCCTTCAGCTAGTTCTTCTGATGAAGCAGGCAGGAAGGATGCTCTCAAAGCTGCCGGTTTGAGTGTTTGTAGCGTGAACTGAGAAAGAAACAGGTTCCCACGGTGAAGTTGAAAGCTCAGTTTTAAAATTGGAGGCAGTTGTGCAAAGTGGTGAGACGGTGCAGGTTCAACTCTTTGGTAGCCGGGAGGCCTGGGGCAAGTCACAGGACATGTCTCCTGTCCCGTTTCATCCTCTGTGAAAGGCCTGTCCCAATTGCCTGCCTCAAGGGTGGTCATGAGGATTACACGCAGTACCACGTTGTAAAATATTTAGCACCAAGTGCTAACCGCTAGTAGACATGTAGTAGGTGTTAAGATGTATGCAGTTTGCAGCTGGGTAGTAATGAGCCACATTTGCTGTTGTGCTAGACATGTAGTAGGTGTTAAGATGTATGCAGTTTGCAAATGAGCCACATTTGCTGTTGTGTGACATCATAGACTGCACTGGAGAAAGGAATGTTAATTAGGCAAAGTATTAATAGAGACCCCCCAGGACAGGCTGTTCTACTTCTCACACTCAAAGGGAAGTGGGACGTGATCGATCCCTGCCTGATACCGTAGACGTGCTTGGGGTGTGGTTTTTGTCCATTCATTTGTTAGTTTCTTTGAGTGCAGTTTCCTCACGGGTGATGTGAAGCTAATGTGTACTTGGCTGGCTTGTTGGGGAGCTTGAGTTAAATGGTGACATATTTGCAGTAATGGCATAGTGCCCGGTCCATCATGGGAACTCAACAAGAGAGAGCCGCTCCTGTCACCATCATCTAAGCATCCACCTTTTCCCTCCAAAATAAAGGAGGGGCCGTTGGTGTGTCTCTCCCATTGGGTAATTTTTGTTTACCTTCTCTATGAAATCTGAGGTAAGGTTCCCATACACCAGTGATCAGCAAACTCATTAGTCAACAGAGCCAAATATCAACAGTACAACGATTGAAATTTCTTTTGAGAGCCAGATTTTTTAAACTTAAACTATATAGGTAGGTACATTGTTACTAACTTAATTAGGGTACACCTAAACTGGCCTTTGCTAAAAACGTCCTCAATCTGATTGAGGTATGTTCGCTGAGGTTGACTCCTTCCAACTCTCCCTCCACACTCGTATACTTGTTTTGTCTATCTCCTTCATTTTATAATAATAAAGCCACCAACACAAAAGAATTACAATTCTTAAATTGGTGACAAAAATACCTGTAAGATTTGCAGCTGGTTGGAAAAATACAGGTAACTTCATGCTTCGAGTAGGTACTTTTGTCACCCGCGCGTGATTTGCGGACACGACTAGCACTAACCACTGCACATGAGACTGCTGACTGACTGGCTCACTCAACTCGGGCATGAATCGCACGCACCTCCCCGCGCTGCGTATCCCGTGGCCGCCTGCGCCGCGTCTCCCGTCGCCCAACCGACTGACACCCCCCACTTCTTCAAAATAGACTCGCCCAGGCAGAAAACCGACTTCTGCGCATGGACCACGAAGTTTCAATCGCACTGTACGTGCACGCCCGCATGTGGTATTTTGTGGAAGAACCACACTCAAGGGGCCGAAGAGCCGCGTGTGGCTCGCGAACCGTGGTTTGCCGACCACTGCCATACACTAAGCACTGCAAAGAACGGAGAACAGCTCATAACCTCAGGAGCGCTGCAGCCCAGATGGAGTCTGCGCTACTGCCCTTCGGAGCCTGCCTCGTCCGCTCTGTTGACTGACGTTCCCGTTGTCCTCTCACTCGCCACCCTGACAAGTGGCCTGGGCTGCCCGGCTAACCCAGCTTGCCCAACCCTGCAGCCTGCACGCTTCTGCTGTCTGTGCCGAATCCTCATCCAGGAATAGCTTTCCCTTTGCTCCTTCCAAACCCCCCTCTCGACCACCTTAGAACACAACCATGAGGCTTCCTTCGCTCCAGTGAGCCCTCGATCCTTCCATGCATGCATTTACTTCATCTCGTGTCTTCCCATTGTCTTCAGATGGTAACTCCTTAATTGCAGAGACTCTTTCCTGTTCCCTCTGGAAAAATATATAATCTGCTTTCCGTTTTTATGGGTGCCTAATCAATATTTATGGGCGTTTGAGGGTTTAGAGTTCCTTTTTATTTAAAAACAATGTATGAAAATTAAAATCTTGAAGTGAGAGGAAAATCGCCGTAGCTCCACTATCATGACATACTTTTTTTTTCGTATATTCTTCTTTATTTATATGAATAGATACAAGTTTGTACTCTGACCTTGTATCAGGTATACTTTACACTCAATGGAATGCTTATTGTTCCATCAGTTTTGACAAACACATACCCTCATATAGCCTCCCCCTTTATCAAGGCACAGAATATTTCTCCCATCCCAGAACGCCCCCCGCCCCCCCCCGCCCCGCCCAGGGCCGCTTTCAGTAGCGCCCCCTCTTCCAAAAGCACAAACACAGACCTGATTTTTATCACCAGAGGTTAACTTTGTCTATTGTAGAATTTCATATAAATGGAAACATAGAGTATGTTCTTTTTGTGTCTGGCTTCTTCCACACAGCATGATGTTTCTGTCGTCCATGCTATTTTGCAAACACTCTGATCTTTTCATCTTCTATCAGGCACTTTTCCATATCACCTCCTAGTCTTCATTGCGGCCATGCTTAATGACGATGGACAAGTCTGTCGAGTGGGTGTAGCACACACAGTGTAGTGGAGAGAGGGTCTCATTGTCGGCCGTGTCCCCATCCACCCCCTGGCTTCCACTGCAACCTGGAGGGCGGTGACTACACATTTATTTTCCTCGTCCTCTCGTCCTGAGCAGCGGGTGTGTTTTCCCCGGTGAAGATCTGCCTCCAGGAGAGCCAGTCCTGTGTCCTCACACCTCCCGACTTCCCCGCCCCTTGCACCCTGAACACTCTCTGCAGTGTCTTCTCACTCAAACCTATTCAAACCTCAAAGTCTATTCATCCTCCTCCGCAGTGGCATTACTATTCACTCACCAGCCATGCCAAAGGCTGAGGTCAGGCTCCTTGTCCTGCGTCCTCCACCCGCTACCAGGCTGTGTTCTCAGCCTCGCTCAGCATTCTGGCCGCTGCTGCTCTAACTTAAACGCCATCATTTCTGACCTGGAATATATTACACTGCTCACCTAACAGGTCACCTTGTCTCCGGGCTTGCTTCTCTCCTCTCCACACGCCACTGGG